TTTTCTTGCCTAAATGTAGAACCTTACTCTTTTCACCATTGCATTTCATTTTATTAGATAGTGCCCAATGTACATGTTTGTCAAGATTCTTCTGTTTTAACATTGTCAGAGCTGATCCTACCATCTTAACATTGTCAGAGCTGCCATCATATGCTTGAGCTTCGCATTCGCTAGCTGTCAGTCTACCATAAACTGGGGGGCGGGAGGGAGCCAGTATGGAGGAGGGAACTACTGTTCATCATACTTTCCAGAAACATCATCTGAAGGTCAAAGTGCTGGGAATAGCAATAGAATTCATTAATGTTGGCATTAGGAAACCTCTCAATAGCAATAGCACTTAGACTTATATACTGCTTCACAGTGCTTTACAGCCCTTTCTAAGCGGTTCACAGAATCAGCATATTTTCCCCAACAATCTGGGTTCTCATTTTATCCACCTCAGAAAAATGGAAGGCTGACTCAGCCTTGAGCCTGGTGAGATTTGAACTGCCAAATTGCAGGCAGGTGGCAGTCAGCAAAAGTAGCCTGCAGTACTGCACTCTAACCACTGCGAATGGAATGTAACGGCTCACCAACCAGCCCCCGTTAAAGAGACAGTTACCAAAACTATTTATTCAAATATAATTGGACAATAAGAGACTAGCAAGGGGGAAGAATTGCTCAGGAAAAGTGAACCAGGAAAGTTTGGCGCGCAAACGTCAGTTCTGGCTTTGCTCTACTGTAATCCACTAGGCTTTTAATAAAAGTATACCTTTCATCACAGGACAAAGTTGTGGCATGTCTGACAAACTTGTTCTTCCTTCCCCTGTGTTTCCTGGCTATTTCCTCTTGGAAGAGATCGGTTCATATGAGAAGAATTGCTGTGCAGGTTTTATGCGGCATCTTGGGAAATCAGTCTTCTTGGAGGCTGTTCTGTGCATCTACCATTAAAGACAACCTGGTGCAAAGGGGGGTTAGGTGTGTCTGTTCTAACGCCAATCTCATTTCTTTTAGGGGCTGAGCTTCCATTTGGCTGCTGTGTTGTTGTCCCTCGGCTTCATCACTTACATTGAACACGGTGAGTCATTCCCTGATGTTTTTCTCCTGCTGAGATGTTCCACTTCCCTTTCCCTTCTCTATTGTCTGATTTCTGTGCGAAAGCTAAGTCAGATAAAATACAATTTTGCATATTTCATTTTGTATATTTTATTGTTGCTTTTATTGCAAATAATAACCATGTACAATTACGTGACTTATAAATTAAATAAATAAATAGTTATGAATTAAGGTAGCATCCAATGAAACATATTCCTTGAAAAGATCAGGAAAAGCATTCTTCTAATATTCATACCAGGAAGATTTCGATCAGCAAGTACATTTTCAGCCGGTATTTAAAGGATGTGTTAATAACACTCACTCCTCCACTTCCTCGCAGTTTTAATGTGGGCACCATCATCACAAAAAAAATTGCCTGTTAGGAAGTTGCCAGTAGCAGAGGTGGCACAGTGGTTAAATGCAGCACTGCAGGCTACTTCAGCTGACTGCAGTTCAGCAGCTTGGCTGTTCAAATCTCACCGGCTCAGGGTTGACTCAGCCTTCCATCCTTCCGAGGTGGGTAAAATGAGGACCCGGATTGTTGTT